AAAACATATTTCCATTTTCTTTGAAAAACCAATGCACCTTACAGACATTTCTCACATGTGGAACCAGATGGTGGTATTGAAAACAATATAATATACATATATATCTCCCTAATTAAGAATACTATCACCAGAATACCTAGGGGCTTCCAAAAAGATATAACTCACTACCTAATTATTTTTATAATTTAGCATTTATGCTGTGTGTGTATGTGCTTTAATTTGAATATACTTTCTAGTCACATATTTTTACTAGTTCCAAAATGGCAGAAAAAATATCTTGCCTGACCCTGCATTTCTTTGCATTCTGTCATGGCAGATGGTAAGATTTTGAGGTGAGACCAGGTATAGAAAATATTACCTTTGGTAACCTGTGAAAAGTTAGATTAATTATTCCTTAGATTGGTATTTTCCAAAGATGGACATGAAACCAAAATTGCCCTGAGGAGGACTTTTTCTGAAGGATGTCTTTCTTCAGCCTCCAGCACTAGAATCTCCACCTGTGGGACTTTGACTACAGCTCTCAGTTGAGTAGATCACACATTGCTGGTGGTCATTGCAATGGCTGGACCGAGAATGAAAGTCGATAGGGTTTCCTGCAAGCACAGTATATTAAGATGCTCAAAATGACTCTTCCAATTATGCAATTTTGAATCAGTTAATGCCTGATAGTCGTGTCCTATGAAGGCAAGTTTTGCTTGCTTGGGTTCTAAGGGCATTTGCTATTTCTCCCAAATGACTTGAAGTCAATCCCTCCTCTAGGATCCCTTAGTCTCTTGTACTTCTATTATATTCCTTACTATGCTGTATCTTAATTACACAGGCCATATGCATTTTATCCACAACAATTAAATCCAGCACTGACATGTATGTAATAGATGGTCAACTGGTATTTATTTTTTTATCATCTAGCGGTACTGTCCAGAAATATAATGTGAATCATATGTGTAATGTAAAATCTCCTAGTAGCCACATTTTAAAAAGTGAAAAGAAACAGGTTTTAAAAAATACTAATTTAATAATCTATTTCATTTAGCTGAAAATATCAGAAACATCATCATTTCGACATATGGCTCAGGCTGCCTTTCAGGTGTTCAATAGCCTCAAGTGACAGGTGGCTACTGCATAGGACAGCACTGGCCTAAAGCAGTGCTTCTCAAACTAGTTTAGTTAAGGTACACATAGAAAATGACAGCATTTGTATAGCCCACTGGAGGAAATGTATAAGATCACTCACAGCCAAGCAATACACAACTACTCCAGGGTCTCAGGCTGTCCCAGTCCTACCTAATTACCCTGAATGCTGAGGTCATCTATAACTTCCATACCTTTATAACCCATTCTTCCAGGCATACCAGCTAGGAAGCTCTCCTCTAAAGCAGTGAGTCCCAACCTCTTCAAGTGATAGACCCATTCACCCTCCTCACATGATAGTGGTTGTACTTTTGTTGCCAATTCATTTAATAGATAGATAGCTGATGATTGATAGACAGATGATAGAATGCAGATAAATGATAGATCAGATCTGTATGATATATATATATATATATATATATATATATACACTTTTTTTTTTTTTGCTTTTCAGTTTTGTTTTGTTTTTTTACATTTTCTCAGCATGTGGATATACCTACTACCAATAAAGGAAAACTTAAGTGGATCCTATAACTCTTCCAATCAATTTAAGGCAGTGGTTCTCAACAGGGAACAATTTTCCATCCACCCCTTTCCCCCACCACCAGGGAACATTTGACAATGTCTAGGGACATTTTTTATAGTCACATCTGAGGAGAGGGTGCTACTAGAGTATTGTGGATAGAAACCTGGAGGCTGCTCAATGTCCTACAGTCTGCAGAAGACAGCCCCCTACAACAAAGAATTGTCTGTCCTAAATGTCAATAGTGCAAAAGCTGGGAAACCCTACTTTAAGGTCATATAAAGTATTATAATCCTTTTAAGTGGCAAGCATTGTTTCAATTCAGTAATTTATAGCATCTAGTCCCATGCAATAATCAAAAGTTTGAACTTAGTTTAAAAATAAAACATCACCCTTCTCCCAGATAGGAGGCAGCCAGGATGCTTTTCTCTTTCTGCCCTTCTCAGCTTTTCACTTCACCTTAACTCGGCATCCTGCTAACTCAAGTTTACAACTGTTTTGTGATCAGAGCTGGGGAGGGAGAATGCAAAATGTCCTTACTTGAGCAGTTATAAGATGGCTTCTCACGCTCTACGCCAGGCAGAGTTTTAAAAGCAGACCTTTATTTTTGAAAAACAGTGCCTAATAAAGTGCGCCACATCCTAACATTATGTCAACAATTGGGTTAAGACAGTGAAGGGCCCCCCCATATCTTATCTTACAGACACGAAGAATTACTGTCAGTAATTAATAATGAGACGCCTTAGACTCTATGCTTAATGAAAACCCAGACTTCATGTGTTACATTCATCATTGAATTCACAGCCTTTAGCACGGATAATTATTAGACATTCAGCAAATATTTGTTCAGGATTGAATTTGACACACACCTGACTTTGAAGATAAAGCTGAGAATAGGAAGCTGAGGACAGGGGACTGATGAAGACATGGAAAAAGTCTGCGGCAAATTTGTGTTTCCAAATTTCACCTAGAACTGGTGGTAATTATACATTGATAAAGAGATTAAGAAATAAGCTGTTTCAGAGAAAGAAATTACTTTAAGTTAATATAAAAAAGAAGATTGACAAAAGTATTGGAGCAAGCAGGACCTTCAAATACGCCCGCATTATCTAGAGATAGCATATAATCAGACTTCATTGAAATTAACAATGCTAAAGAGTTCTCCCTGACCATCCCACCCCACCCCTCCAGTAATATAGATGAATTTTTCTTTACTCCAGCCATAATTTTGTGTATAGATACAGATAAATGGAATTATCTAGATAAAGGTTATCATGTTAAATATAAAGGAATGAAAGTGAAAATAAATTGTGAATACATGGAGTGAACCCCATTCACATTCCACATTCATGTCGTAGCAGGACTAATACTTTCACATGGGCAGATTTTGCTCCAATGCCCTATCCAGACAGAAGGGAATACATGGAGTGAACCCCATTCACATTCCACATTCATGTCGTAGCAGGACTAATACTTTCAAATGGGCAGATTTTGCTCCAATGCCCTATCTAGACAGAAGGACCTGAGCTATTAATTCAGGTGGTTGTTCCATAACTACTGTTTTCTACTCATATTTGCATAAAGTAATAATCATAAAGGAGAATTTACTGAAAGCCTCTGACTTTTTTTTTAATCTTCAGTGTTCAGACTGCATCATAGTGCTTCTGATACAAGCGACAAAAACCGAGTTAAAAGCAGATTAAAGAAGTTTATTACCCGGAGACCTTCCCTGAAAACTCTGCAAGAAAAAGGACTTATTAAAGGTACAGGACATTTTATACTTGTACTGTAACTGTGATAAATGAATGTGCCTCTGTGTCCATGGCTAATCAGCTCTAAACAAATATTAGGATATTTTATTCTTTTTAGGTTGCTTACTAAATTTTCTGCACCATAACAGAGGAAAAAGTATTTGTCCAGGAAACAAATCCTGAGAAAATAATGGTAGCATCATGGGATTATTGAAGAAAATACCTAGTTTTTGACTTCAGAGGATCTAGGCTCTGCACCAGCAGCAAAAGGGTTATTTCAGTAGCCTGAAAGTGAAAGGGCCTAGCAGCCCTTTTCACTCTCAGAAGTGTCTTGATTATCTACTCATCCTAGTAGTAGTCTAAAGTAAGTGTGAGGCAGAAAGTCTAAGATAAACTAGTGTCATGAAAACTTATGGATATTGAGAGCCCAAAGCTCAATCTAAACTGAAATAACTAGGTTAAGTGTGAGGCAGAAAGTCTAAGATAAACTAGTGTCATGAAAACTTATGGATATTGAGAGCTAGAGAGCCCAAAGCTCAATCTAAACTGAAATAACTAGGTGCTTTTGCATATATATCTAAAGAAGTAGACAATAAACTATCTAACTACCAAAATAGAAAAACATGGTGTCTGGCATTAGACTAACTGGAATTAAGACCTTGCTTCTGCTACTTACTCATACTGACATTGAGCAAATTCTGATCTCTCTGAGCCTCAGCTTTCTTATCTGTTAAATGGGGATTCTTATACACATCATTGAAAGTCATTGAGAGGAGTAAATGAGATAACCTATGTAAAGCATTTAACAGAGTTTCTGGAACAAAAGTAAGTATTCAATAAATGTTCTCTGCTGTTAGTACTATTATGGCTCATTACTGATGTTATCACTATTAGAGTGTCAGATAGATGTGTGGATGGATGAATAGGTAGAACCAATGCTACAGTAGATTCTATAACTGGAAATCACCTTACAGATCATACAGGCAAAACATATTATTTTCCTAACAAGAAAACGTGAATGGAATCCACTATTCTCCCTATTTTTCAATTTTTCTAACTTATGGATATCTTTTGAAAATTAAATATAAGAAAGAATTTGAAATAGGCTAAAATAAACTCCTAACCCTGAGAAGAAAGTTGAAAGACTAATTTTTATAGAAACCAAAAGGTGTTTTAATATACAATCATTTTTCAGGAAAAGGGCAAAACAGATCTTAATATTTTCAGCTATACTTAGAATGATAATTATTTAAGTAGTTTACAATAACTATTTGACCTATCAATTTTAGTTCATTTTTAAATTGGTGAACATAACACAAAAATTAGCTGGCACTCTGAACCAGTTGCAGAAGGTGGAATTTTATGAAACATGAACATACTTATCACTAACAGAGCAGAAAATTCTTAGAATATAGCATTGAGGGGTAAAACTAAGACCTGCTTTAAATCAGACTGGTGTCAGACTTTTACTCTATGAAGATGTTTTTTTAGTGCCATAGACAGTATTTGACCCTGTACAGATTTAATTTCATAGAGTATTGTAATATTGCCTTCAATTCTATCTTAGAATTTATTCCATGGATTATCATTTTCTTAGAAAGGACTCAATTCCAGGTTACCTGCCATCAAAACCAGATTAGCAGCCAAACAATCCCAATTTTACATAAAGTCCAAATTTTTCATGATTACCAAATGAAAGGGGTTTTAATTCAGTGACTGGGTCTGGCTCCAAGCAAAGTACTAAAGAGTTATTTACTACAGTGCTCTAGAATTGGTCTCAGAAAGAGAAACTGAATGCCTACTGCAGTTTTCATCCTGATGCAATTGAAAGACTGAACACATTGTGATTCATGCATTTCCTATTGTAGAGCTCCATTAAATTTTCACCATAGCTGACCAGTGAGTCAGTATTCATTAGTAGGGATATGGAAAATCTACGTAAAATTCTGATTTGCTAAGCTTCCATTGTTGTCTTCAGTGGAATTTTTTTTTTCCAAATACAGATCAAGTTATGCAAATATCATCATTTCTTGGGCTTGTTTCAGTTTCAACTGTGAACTTTTTTTTAAAGCTTTTACTGAGATTTTTTTTCCAACTCAGTAAAAGGCATTAAACCAATTTTTATACAGATCAAGTTATGCAAATATCATCATTTCTTGGGCTTGTTTCAGTTTCAACTGTGAACATTTTTTTAAAGCTTTTACTGAGATTTTTTTTCCAACTCAGTAAAAGGCATTAAACCAATTTTTAACCATACCTGGCCAGTGAAATTTAGTACTTTAACCCATTTTATTATTATATCTAAGGCAGAGACTTAGAAAAAGAAATAAAATCAGTATTTTTAATTAGTCAAGAAAAATTACATAAAATAAATTAATGATCAATGGTTAAATGGTTCATTTCTCCAAGCAAAATGGCTTAACTCTTTTAAATGGTAGAATTATTTAGAAAGAGTGATATGGCCTTTAAAATTGCTCTGCAGTATATTTGGTCATAGAGTCTGTATCAGATTCTTTAAACTGTCGAATCTTCCAGATCTTTTGTCCTTCATTACCAAGGTTCAGGAAAGCTGTGCTTGGTAGCTTGGGCATTACAGTTATGTTTCTTGAAACCTGGGAGGGGTTCTGCAGGGCCAAAGCCACTTTCCAAACTGTTTATTCTTTCACATAATGTTACCAACAGGTTGAGAAGGCTGAGCTTTGAATTCAGGCAGCATTTATTGAGTCACTGCGGGGGCAGGAAGTGCTGTGCCTTATTAACTTTATAATACCCAGTCAGAGTACTGTCCAGAAAGCATTTTATGTGAAAAGAGAATTGCCCCAATATCACTCAGTCTAAACTCAGTCACTAACCTTTCTGCAAAATCTGATTTTTGTGCTCATGGAGACCTAGCCAATATTTGATTTCATTGGCCAGAATCTAGATCTGGAAACAGTCACTTGATGGGGCTGCATTTTCTAATTTCTTTAATATGACTAATGAGAAGGGCACATTGTGAAGCCAGCAGACAGTTCTGAATGATCACTCAGTGGATAGAAATCTTAATAGCTCAGGTGGGCGTAGCAATCATTGTACCATTGCAGTGGTAGCTTCTGAAAAGCTCTCCAAATGCATTCATATTTGCCAGCGGAATGGCGAATGCTTTTTAAATGTATGAGGTTATTGCATTGAGCATCTCATTGGAAACAAAACTTGAATCAGTTTAATATGTAATTTATAAGAAAGAGAGTGCATTTTAGGGTGGTTGGTATGTTTGTACATATCCTCTACTTGCTTTCGGAACTGAAGTAATAGCTCTTTAGTCTCAGTCAAACTACCTTATATAATCTTTCAAATAACAGCATTGATATTCAAGAGTAGGAAAAACTTGGCAGGACTTTTTATAAAAAGATAACAACAGTTTGGCTTTTTAGGAGCAGCTAGTATTTCCTTATATCAAAATAATAGAGTCAGAGAGGATTGTGTGTTTAGAAAGTAGTTTCCTTCATATTAATATGGGCAAAACCATACTGGATGGCATTAGCAGAAACTGAAATTAATGCCATACTACTTCTGTGTTTTAATCAGTGTACTGTAAACAGTCTGTTTAAAGATTAAATATTACACCTCGAGGATTTATAATGAAAAGCAGTGTTTTCCAGCCTCATCCCAGGTTTGCTCCCTAGGTGGCTCCACTTTGAATGATTTCTATTTATAGTTCCGGTAATTAGCTTGTATCTATAACCCTGTTATTTGGGGTGCATGTTGGTTTGTTTTTGTCAATATCTTCCTTATCTTCAATGTTCCAATGTCTTGATTTCTCAGTCTTAGACATTACCTTAGATTTCTGCTGCGATAGGCATGAATTTTACTCAATTACACCAAGTATCATCTACTTGGTCCTTCCCCTCCCCAATTACGCATAGTCAAATGCAGCTGTTCTCACAGTCTACATTGGTTTTCTTCACAAATTGCAGCTTTACCTAAGTCTCTACTTATTGTTCCATTAAGCATAGAAAATTGAGACGTCAGTCTCCATTGGTAAGATGAGGTATTTAGTGACCCCTTCCCCTCTCATCTCCTTTACCTTTTCTATTGTACTTCTACATTATTTTATATTATTTCATTTGCTTCTATAATTGTTACTTATTCATAGGTTAATTCTAAAAATTAAAAATCAAAAATCAACATCCTTGCTATCATGTTTATTTAAAGTTGCTTACTGCAGCACCAAGTATTAGATTTCCTTCTCTGTTCTTACCATATCATAACCCCTGTGATTCTGAAAGAGCAATGCCCCTGATCATGGTGAAGAAGATTCTCCTATCTTTTACATTTGAGAGCTATATTAATAATTTAATGCTGTTTCACAACCCCCTCTATGTTTTTTTCCCCATATTTTGTATCAAAATGTAAAAAAAATTAAGAATCAGCTTTATTTTGATCACATAAATATTATAGAATCTTTGGCCAGGCAATGTGCCAGATTGGATTAACATGTTTGTGGGTACAGTGCTATGACTATGGGCCACACAAGTTATAATATTCTTGTTTTCAAAGCTTATGCTCCATCATTTGTTTATAATCATGTTATCTTTTAGTTTGATTCATTTTTTGATTGTGAATTTCTTGTACAGACTCCCCACCCCCCCAATACTGAATTTCATTTTTGTTCTTGCTTTCTGGGCCTTTATGTCACCAAGTGCTTTCATCTTCTTGGTCTATGTATTCTTGCCACCGCCTGCTCTCTTCCCCTGAAAATCTTCTCGAGTCCTTGCATCCTCTTATTCCAATTTGGACTTGTTGCTTTCCAGGAGTATTATCCTGTGATTTCCTTTCACTGCTCTTCCTACTTGTATTCACTGTCTTCTGGATCCCATGGCTTTTCTTTCTTGCTCTAACTCCTTCTATTACCATGTAACAGTGTCCACTAACTCATTTAGAAAACACGAGACCTTAGTTGTCTAAAAATACCTTCAGTCTGCCCACACACTTTATCAACAAAATGATCAAGCTTAGTTGGGTATAAAATT